ATACACTTGGCCAGACCCATCCCACACACGACGGGACCCCGTGTTGCTCTATCTAGGAGGCACCAACTGTATGTGATCTGGAAAAGGCCATGCAGACACAGCGTAGGGCAGGGGTGAGGGGTGTCTGACACTGATCCAGCTGTGTGACAGGTGCCGGGAGCGCCCGGTAGAGTGCCGTCTCCTCAGTAAATGGTTTCGGAGTAATGACTGCCCACGTGCAGAACTGAAAATAGACACTTATATCACATAGGAAACCTACTCAATGCAGCTAAAGACTTTATTGGAAATTGAAGTGTCTAGGAGAAGAAATCGGGATAAAAGTCTGTGACGGTGGTCAGGCCATGTCGTTTTTGTACTTGAACCCAAAAACCCAGGCTTATTAAAAGTTTTTTAACAAAGTTTTACTTTTGTGAAAACAGAAGGAAGTGTGCAGGAATGAGCAGCGTGGGTGTAGCTCCTCAGGAACTGGCCCGCTGTCGGGAGCCAGGATCTGGGAAGGCACTGCCCTGCTGCACGGCACCTCCAGCCCACGTCCTGGACTTCCTGGCGCCCGACGACGCAGGAGACGGCAGGACAAGATGGCCGGGCCCCTGAGGAACAAGGACGCGAGCCGTGAGCAAGGCCCATCAGCCCCCCAGTGCACACGGGGGCCCTGACAGCCCCGTCACCTCCAGCACTGCTGGGGAAGAGGGCACCACACCGTCTAGGGAGAGCCCAGAGTGTTCTGGAAACTTCCAGACGATGCCAGGAAACTTCCTGGAAGGTTCTAGAGAAACACTTTAGAATGTTCTAGAAAAAAAATGTCTGGAATGTTCCAGAAAATTCCAGGCGATTCTAGGAAACAGTCTAGAAGGTTCTAGGGAAGATTTCAGAAGGTTCTAGAAAGTTTCTGGAACGTTCCAGAATGTTCCCAAGCCTTTTCTGCCACAGTCAATGGGAAGAACTACTTCAAGTTCCTGGTGCAGGAGCCCGGCCACCCCTCCCCTGCTCACCCCTCCCCTGCCCCTCTGTGTCTACTCACCCCTTCCCCTCCCCTCTGTGTCTGCAGTGTCTGCTCACCCCTCCCCTACCCCTCTGTGTCTGCAGTGTCTGCTCACCCCTCTGCTCCAGTATGGTTGGGGCAGGTTCCCCATGCACAGCGTCAGGCTGTCTGCACGCAGCCCCGTCACGCCCTGCCCTGCTAACCCGCCCTGTGAGTATGAAATGCTCCATCGTCCGCCCTCACCAGCTCAGGCTAAAGCGAGAGCTCCACTGCACCGTGCTTGGAAATGTCTCATTTAAATCCTATTTTTAGTTTTCCTGGAAATAATTCCATTTCATTAATATTTTCAAAAAAGAAATTTGGCGTTGATAATTTAGTGATGTCTGCTCTTTCATCCCTTATCTTTTTTTTTTTTTTTTTTTTTGGACAGGTAGAGTGGACAGTGAGAGAGACAGAGAGGAAGGTCTTCCTTTGCTGTTGGTTCACCCTCCAATGGCCGCCGCAGCCGGTGCATCGCGCTGATGCGAAGGCAGGAGCCAGGTGCTTCTCCTGGTCTCCCATGGGGTGCAGGGCCCAAGTACTTGGGCCATCCTCCACTGCACTCCCGGGCCACAACAGAGAGCTGGCCTGGAAAAGGGGCAACTGGGACAGAATCCGGCGCCCCGACTGGGACTAGAACCCGGTGTGCCGGCGCCGCAAGGCGAAGGATTAGCCTAGTGAGCCGCGGCACTGGCCTTCCCTTATCTTCTAAGTACAGAATTTCCATTTGTTTTTCCATTTTCTGGAATTTGTAAATTAAAAAACCAAATCAAATGGTCTTTTTTGGGTTCCTAAAATGACAAACCCTACAATTATTACTTTACCACCTGTCACTATTCCCTTAGCTCCACACAACTGCCTTCCACCACCTCCTGTATGCGGCGATTGGCAAACATATCAAAATACATGCTTTTAAAGATTTATTTATTTATTCAAAAGGAATGGTTATAGAGAGGGAGACAAAGAAAGAGACCTTCGATCCCATGCCTAGAACTGCCCGGACCAGGCCAGGCTAAGCCGTGGGCAGGAACTGCATCCGGCCTCCCGGGCTGGGAGCCAGGCCCCACACAGAGTGGCCAGGACTCCACCAGCATCCACAGGAGAGGCCGCACCACAGTCACCCCACTGCCACGCGTTCCATCATCCCATCACCCCACATCACTCCACACACCAGAGCCATTCACATCCTTCTAAATGGACGACTCTAAAATGCCCGTAGGAGGGGAAATGCGTGCCTGCACGCCCGCTGCTTCTGGCTCTCCGGGTACCTTTGCCGGGCTCTCTGTGGGTGAGAGTGCTGGCAGGGGTGTTTGGCACCTCCGAGGTTACTGTGGCTGAAGAGCCTCGTTCTAAGGGGGTCCGGGAGCAGCCAGTCCTCTCAGCGTTCATCACCTTGCTAACCCCTGTGGTCTCTGCCGTCATAGTTAAAGGTGGCAGAGCTAACCGTGGGCCCATGGTCGACGGCGGTTTCTCTGGAGGCTCTCTGGCCGCCACTGTCCCACTGGGCGGTCAGCTGGTATTCCCACCACATCTCCCCTGTGAATCACAACTCATTTTTCTCTTGTGTTCAAGAATGTCTCCTCATCTTTTGCTTTCAGCTTTCTAAATAATGCGCCTTCCTTTAGAATCCTGTGTTATCTTTGTGTCCATATTCCTTAAATCCTACTTTTAGTTTCATGGATGCTTATGTTGTAGTTTCCAAATTAAAATTTGAGAAATTATGTCATTATTTCTTCTTTTTAAATATTTATTTAGTTAGTTATTTGAAAAGCACAGTTGCAAAGAGACAGAGACAGAGAGAGACAGAGACAGAGGCAGAGAGAGAGGTCTTCCATCTCCTGGTTCACTCCCCAGATGGCCTCAACGGCCACAGCTGCGCCGATCCGAAGCCAGGAGCCAGGAGCTTCTTCTGTATCTCCCATGCAGGTGCAGGGCCCAACGACTTGGGCCACCTTCCCCAGGCCACAGCGGGGAGCTGGATGGGAAGTGGAGCAGCCGGGACTCAAACTGAAATCCACATGGGAGCCGGCTCTGCAGTCTGCAGCTTTGCCCGCTGCGCCACAGCGCCGGGCTGGGTCATTATTTCTATGAATATTTTCTCTGCTCCTTTCTTGCATCTACTTTTTGTACTTCCATTATATGTATTTGATGTGTCTGATGATGTCCCACATTTCAGCTGGGCTTTGTTTGCCTTTATTGTGTGTGAGTGTGTGTGTGTGTGTTCTTCAGTTTAAATAATCTCTATCAATCTGCCTTCAAGTTTGTTAACTTCTTTATCTGCCAATTCACTCTTGCTGTTAAGCTCACAGAGTAAATTTTTATTGTTATTTTAGTTTTGTGAGCATATATATAATTCTTATTTTGAATGTTTTTCCTGTTAAAATTGACATCTGACACTCCCACAGGCTGTTTAGGTTTGCTGCTTTTGGTGTGTAAGTTATACTTTTCTGTTTATTTTCATGCTTCACAATTTTTGTTGAAAACTAAACATTTTAGGTAATAGGTTGTAGCAATAACGGGTACTGGTTCCCTGGTCTCCAGCTCTTATTTTTATCTTATTGCTTATTTGTTTAATAGCCTGCTGGGAATTTTAATAACTCTATTCCTCACCCAGAATACCAAGAATTGAGGTTACTCCTCAAAGGGGCATGGCTTTGAGTACTCGGATGACAGTGGCTTTGCTAGGCTCTCTCTCTTTTCCCATAACCTCATCCAACTGATAACTCAGAGTTCTTGCTGATTGCTATGTTCTTTAAGAGTGTTCTGGGGCATAAATTATTCTAAAACCAACGCAACCAAAATCTAGCTCCTGGGGCCGGCGCTGTGGTGCAGTGGGTAAAGCCGCCGCCTGCAGTGCCAGCAGCCCATGTGGGTGCCAGTTCAAGTCCTGGCTGCTCCTCTTCTGATCCAGCTCTCTACCGTGGCCTACTCTGAGGTAGGCCCAAGTCCTTGGGCCCCTGCACCTGCGTGGGAGACCTGGAAGAAGCTCCTGGCTCCTGGCTTCGGATCTGCGCAGCTCCGGCTGTTGCAGTCATTTGAGGAGGGAACCAGTGGATGAAAATCTCTCTCTCTCTCTCTCAATCTCTCTGCCTCTCCCTCTGCCCCTCTGTAACTCTGCCTTTCAAATAAATAAATAAATCTTTTAAAAAATCTTCCTCCCTTGGATGTGTAGTTTCTAAGCTCTATCTCACAGTTTTTGATCCTCAGAGGGTTCACTCCAGTTCTTATTCCACAATTCCCTCTTGAACACTGCCTGCCGACAGGCCCGCCTGTGTCTGAATGTCTGCTCAATCGACATTCACACCATTGTTCTTCTCATTTATTCATTTTCATTTCATTTGCGCCATCCTCTTCCTCCCCAGGTACGCGTTAGCGGGAAGCGAGGTCAGAAGGGAAGCAGCTGGTGCTCCAGGAGGCATTCTGACAAGGGAATGCCAGGCAGCGACGGCCCCGCCCCTCGGTCACTCTGGAGGACTCCGAGACCTGGACAAGGGCCTCCAGCACCTCCCAGCACGGCCCTCCAGCCCGTGAAGCTGCAGGTGCACCGAGCTCCACGGCCGACACAGATCGCACAAGGCCGTGCTGGGGCAGCCCCTCAACGAAGTCTCCGAGGCACAGGAGCAAACCCCTGGTCCACACTCTCAGTGAGACTCTGTCATCCTCCCTCTCAGGACGACAACCTCCGGGGACGTCGCCTCTGACCCAGGCGCATGAGAGAGAACCAACTGCAGCATTTTTATGCATCGTTATGTACAATCTGCTTATTTTGCTGACATTTACCACAGAATAAATTTTAAGCTTCATTCTACTGTGTCTTGCATGGAAAGACATCGGAAATATCCGCACCTCAGGCACAATGTAAATTGTGACAAAAACCGATACTAAAGAACACAAAATATGAAATAAATATTTAAAAAATGCAAAACCAGTATACCCAAAGCTACAGAACATTGCAGAAAGATACTAAAAGACAGGGATACACGTGGACAGATGTAGTGCATCGTGGCCTATCCTCCGTGAGCCGTAAACATGCTCATCAGATAAGAAGGACGTCACAGCATAACTGCATCCAAATCAGTATTTCAATCTCAAAGTTCCTGAATCTACCATTCCAAAGGAAGACACATAGCTGCAGGCTGTGGAGCAGAGCGTCTTAACCCACCAGTAAGGACATCGTCCTGTAAATCCGTTTGCACACTCTCTTCATGGCGGCCTTCATCTCTTTATTCCTGAATGTGTAGATGACTGGATTCAGAACGGGAGTGAGGACAGAATCAAAGAGAGCAAGATACTTGTCCATCTGTGAATTGGGGTGTGGCCAGGTATAAACAAACAGGGTGGGACCAAAGAACAGGATCACCACAGTGATGTGAGCTGACAAGGTGGACAGGGCCTTGGAGGACGCTCCTGAGGAGTGTTTCCAAACACTGACCAGGATGAAGGTGTAGGAGATGAGAAGCACAGAGAAAGAGCCGACGCAGATGAACCCACTGTTCACAGTCACCATGAACTGCAGCCGACTGGTGTCTGCGCAGGCCAGCCTGAGGAGCCGAGGGAGGTCACAGTAAAAGCTGTCCAACACGTTAGGGCCACAGAAGGGCAAGCCAGTGAGAAACACCAGTTGGAACAGGAAGTGAATAATGCCAAGGTCCCAGGCAGCAGCCACAAACAAAACGCACACCCGTGGGCTCATGATGGCCAGGTAGTGAAGAGGCTTGCAGATGGCCACGTACCTGTCAAAGGCCATGGCCATGAGCAGCACCATCTCCACACCGCCGATCACATGGATGAAGAAGATCTGGGCGATGCAGCCTCCAAAGGAGATGACCTTGCGCTTTCTGAACAGATCATAAATCATCTTGGGGGACGTGACCGAGCAGGCTCCCAGGTCGATGAAGGAGAGGCCCGCCAGCAGGAAGTACATGGGGGAGTGCAGGTGAGGGTCTGTGGTCACAGAGAACACAATGAGGCTGTTCCCAGTCATGCTCGCCGTGTAGAGGACCGAGGAGAACACCAGGAGGAGACGCTGGAGCTCCTGGGAGCTGGTGAGGCCCAGGAACACAAACTCGGACACCCCCGAGTGGTTCCCTCCAGCCATGGGTCAGCCCACTGGGTGCAGTTGCAGTTATAAGAACTAACAAAACAGAAGGACACGTGGTTAGGGAGACAGTGATAAGTACTAGAACTGCTGATAGTACCATGCTCTCATTATGAACAAATCACATATGGTTATCTAGCTCTCAAACAGACAAAACAACAAAATCAGTGTCACAACACGTAAGTTGCAGCATAATTTAAACCCAACACCGGTACTATCAGTGTAATATGCCATCATCAAATAGGTAATGTAGGCCAAAAACAACAGGATTTAGAACTAATGAGATGTTTAAACCACCTGTGATACTACTTCTCTCAACATATTCCCTATAATATTTATGCACATTCTCATCATTTCCTTCACCCCCCAGTTTGCACCCATAATTCTCTGACAGAAAGTGTGGACAAGAGGACGGTGTCCTGAGGGGTCATCAGGTGGTCATCACAAGGAGTCAGAGGTGGAGACTGGACTAAGATGAGCTGTAGGTTGAGACAGGATAGAGAAGTGGGAATGTGGGAATGGAGAGCCCATGAGAGCAGTCAAACTGGACAAGGATGTGGGTTTCCATTTCTAACACAACAACCACTAAAATCCACCACATTTCCTGTCACTCACTGTTCTCTGCTGTTTCTAGTTTCTACGTAATTTTTCACGATTGTAGAACCGTTAATGGCTTCACACACGGTCATGATTTGTTAAGGCACCTTCACCTCCTATCACACAAGTGTTTCTCAAGGCATAACAAATATGCACTTAGGTGATTCAGCCAGAATTTCTTCAAGGTATATGTCTACAGAGGCCAACGTGGGTGTGACACCTCTCGAGCAGACCTCTCTGTTCATACCTGTGGACGTACTAAGGACCAGCACCTAGAATACGGAGATTTAACTTTATTTTATCATCTAAGTCTCCTTCTAGGATCAGCTTTTATCACCATGGACATTTCCCTGTAGAGTACGCAGAACCTCCAGCATGCAAACCACTCTGGTTATTGGATATTATACTGAGTATTTAGCTAAAATCTATTCAACTACAGGTATTTTTATCTTCAAGGAAATCTGAAGAGACTTTTATTTGATTTACACTTTTAACTGATGATTACAAAATGAGAAGAATATCAAATATTAGTGACTCAGGTCTGAGGCGGGCATGTGGGATTTCTCACTGTGAGGTAAACCACACTGGAGGCTTAGTCCTTTAAACGGAACGGAGCATGAACAAAGAGCAATGCTGTGTTCCCACGTCTCAGTCACTGTGAGGGCAACAGGCACTGGTGACGGAAGCCCTAAGTGCCCAGCGTGGTGATGGGGTGATAATGCGCATGGGGTGAGATAAGGCCCTTCTGTGGAAGACGGTCATCATTCAAGGGGAAGCATGACACCCAGAAAAGCTACAGGAACTTCCAGAATTCAAACAATTGAAAGAACAGACACCAAAATCTAGGTCTTTCAACCTTATTTCAGAACTACAGGGTATACTAACCAAGTAAACTGAGCAAATAATCAAGTAAAAAAGAAGGGAACGCAAGGGGCCAGCGTTGTGGCACATTCCGCGATGCCAGCTTCCCATGGGGGCACCACTTCACACCCCAGCTGCTCTGCTTCTGCTCCACTCCCTACGAGTGGCCAGGAAAAGCAGTGGAGGATGCCCCAAGTCTCTGCCCCTGCCGCCATGGGGGAGAACCAGATGAAACTCCTGGCTCCTGGCTTCAGCCTGACTCAGCCCTGGCTGTTGGGACCATCAGGAGCAAGAATAAGCAGATGGATGATCTCTCTCTCTCTCTCTCTCTCTCTCTGTAACTCTGACTTTCAAACAAAGAAATAAAAATTTGTTCAAAAACAAAAGAACTAAAAAATGTTATTTTCCTGATTAAAACCAAAATTGACCAGAGACAGTCAAATAAATTATCCACTATTAATATAAAATTATATAGTAGCCTAAAAAGTATTACATAAAATATGTACCCACTTAAAGATTATTTAACCTGTACAATAGTAAATTTTATTTGGTAAAGTGCTCATTGCTATCATGATTTGTGTACTTATTCTTCATATTCTGGTTGTATAATGGCTCACTACAATTATAAAAACTTTAGATCATGCTTCCAATAAATCTACTCTTTTGGGTTTCCTAAATTTTATTGTCCCCAGAGATCTATTAAAATCCCAATCATTCTCTGTAGTTTTACTGTCAGTTCCCTTATATATTACCTTGTTTGTCCCTGTAAGCCAAATAACTAAGAAAACAGTTTTAAAAAAGAATCATAAATCTGAGTTTATGGAAAATTCAGGATATGTTTATTTCAGGGCTGGTGCGTTGGTGCCGTGGGCTAAGCCTCCAACTCTGGGGCCAGCATCTCACATGTGCACCACCCGCTCGGGACCCGGCTGCTCCTTTACTAATCCAGCGCCCTGCTGTGGCCTGGGAAAGCAGTGCAAGATGGCCCACGTGCTCGGGTCCCTGCACCTGCGTGGGAACCCAAAAAGAGCTCCTGGCTTCAGATCAGCCCAGCTCCGGCCACTGTGGCCATTTGGGAAGTGAAACAGTGGATGAAAGAATTTCTCCCCATCTCTCTCTCTCTGTGTCTGTAACTCTACCTCTAAAATAAATGAATAAATTTTTTTTGACAGGCAGAATGGACAGTGAGAGAGAGACAGAGAGAAAGGTCTTCCTTTTCTGTTGGTTCACTCCCCAAAGGCCACTGTGGCCAACACACCTCACTGATCCGAAGCCAGGAGCCAGGTGCTTCTCCTGGTCTCCCATGGGGTGCAGGGCCCAAGCACTTGGGCCATCCTCCACTGCACTCCCTGGCCACAGCAGAGAGCTGGCCTGGAAGAGGAGCAACCGGACACCGATCGGGACTAGAACCCGGTGTGCCGGCGCCGCAAGGCAGAGGATTAGCCTAGTGAGCCGTGGCACCGGCCTGAATAAATATTTTTAAAAACACATATTTATTTGGTGCAAATAATCTTGAAATCTATGCATAATTTTTTCATAAGCATGTCCCATGAACTATTTGAAGGCTTATCATAATACAAGTACAATTTAATGTGATATATGTCAGAGGAGTAGTAAGATTAATTTTTGGTGATTTTTTTTGCCGTGGAGGATCCTAGTGTATGAACAGCAGATGGGGAAGGCTATACACAGGGATATTTATGCGGCCTTTTAGGAATGAGTGACACATGAGTAGAAGAAGGAGGTGCATACAAAGTTTAACAAATACCCTAAGCTGTATAATATGACAAGAAATGTGCATTAGTCAGTTGTACACAGCTCATAGTACAAACCCAGACACATATAGCAAGTGGTGGGTAGTTTCTGACTGGTGTGTTAGATTCATAACCTCACCCACCCTGTAGGAAGGCCATGCCCTCAATTCAATAATTTGTATTATTCCATATTCTCTCTTCTATGTCATATTTTCTTTTTTAATAAAATGGTTTTCAGAATGGATTATGATGTAAAACCAGTAAACTTACAACATGCTGTTAAGAGATATATCCAAACAAAAAGATTTAGAACATTTGAGAATTAAATATATACCAGGGAGATACAAACACAAAGAAAGCAGGGATGGGTGTAATAATATCATAAAATGAGAAATAAGGGCACATTATTATGTAAGGGCTATAATTCAGTAAAAATGATCCTCATAAATATCTAAATGCCAGGTAATACTGCACCCACATTTTTACTTTACATTTATTATACTTCTACCTATCAGAAAAAGCATGTTGTATTTGTCTTTTGTCTGACTTATTTCAGTTAGCATAGTGATCTACAACTCCGTCTACTTGTGCAGATGCCAGTATTTCGTCCTTTTTATGACTGAGTGCATGTTTCCTGATGTGCTCAACGCACACAGGGAAAAACATCTCATTTAAGAACACAGTAGCTGTAACCTTCCATTCCCCAGTGTGAAGGCACCCAAAGCTACACGGCAAAGTCTTTGCTGAGGATGAGACAGACTTACAGACAGATCCAACTTCTTTTCTTGAAGCCAGTGGAAGACTATTAGATACAGAAAAAGTACAGGAGACATGAAGGTAGAAGAAGGAAGATTCAAAATATGAGCGATATGGGGAGAGGGAGAAATTAGTAGGTAAACGCACAAGGACAAAACAGAAAAGAGGAAAGAAGAGGAGCCGAGCGAGGCGCGGGTGGCTTTCAACAGGGCATTAAGGAGGCGTAGATGTCGGTCTCCCACGGTGCCGCACTGACCCAGGGCTGCTCCTGACTGTGGCGCGGGGGTGCATGGAAAGGTGATAAAGGATTCTCCTATAGTCTGCCCTGCAGGCCAGGCTCACAGAGGGTCTGTGAAAATCACAGGTGAAGAGAAATAGAAAGATTATCTCTTACATGCACAGCTAATTATACATGTATAATTCACTGTAAAAATATGACTTTTACCATGACTGAGGAGCCTATAAAATATGCCAGTCAGGAGGAGGTCACGGACAGAACCACAGAAAGCAGGCGGTGAAACTCTCCCCCGTCGGGGTTTTCTCTGTGTTCCAGCACCCAGAGGGCTCTCTGTCCAGTCGCCGTCTGCTACTTAGGGTCATGTAGGGTTATTTCAAAGGCCATGCTTCTCCTAGGAGCAGACTCATCACATAACTGAATTCCTCTCAAAAGTACAGCAACTGTTTCCAAATTGTTACCTCTGTCTTCATCAATCCTAAAAATATAAAATGCACAGATTGATTCCATACATTACAATGGAAGCGTTCAATGACCGCAGCTTTGGTCATCCAGGTCTCCTTTGGAAGCCAGGCTCCACCACTTAGCCGCTAAACCTCTCTGAGCCGCATTTTCAATGGGAGGTAATAAAGATTGTACCTTTCTAGTTTGAAAATCAAAAACCTGAGTGCTCCAAAACCTGACACTCCGTAAACATCCACATGACACCACAGTGACAATATTCCACACCTGACTCTGAGACAGGTTTCAGTCAAAGCAGGTGCACTAAAAATATTTTATAAAATTACCGCTATGTGTATAAGAAATGTATCAAATAATTAAGTTTCATGACTAGACCCAGTTCCCATCCCCAAGTTATCTCCTTATACATGCAAATACTCTAAAACTGAA